CGACCCGCCGTTGCGGAAGGTCGGGTTGTGGATACAGCTATAGCTCGTTTAACAATTCAAATCATAAAATACTGCAAGGTACGCTCTCTTATACCGCTAACCGTTACATTTACTCCAACTTGAATAGTTACCCTGTCCCGGCCTGCGTCGAAGGGTCCTGTCAAAAACAGTAGCATTTCCCCTCTCGGTCTGTTATTTAGCCGGTTTTCTTGCACCAACCTGATAATTCTGTAGTGAAAATCTTTGAATGTTCCCAATCTCTCTTGTTGAAGTCATTATGATTCTTACCAATTTGGAATATGATATATCAATTACATCATTTAATTGTTGCTAAATAAGAATACTTGTCGATATATTCGACGCTCAGAAGGAAGATGTATCATGGCTACTTAGAGAAGTCAAATTATATCAGCTTTCAATGCTAGATGGTGATCTCCAGGGTCTTGTACCTCCGGCAACGCCAACGAGATGAATACGGAATCTGGTATACAAAGTAACCTACCTCCTAGCGTGCATAGCAGGATACCCTGGGAATGTCACACCCTGCGCCCATTTGCTCCGAGGAGGTAGCAGCCAGCCGGTGGGCCAAATGCATAATGATTCTCCGATTCTTCGAACTCGACTACTGGCATGAAGGATTGGAAACGCGTCAAAAGTCATTATGAAGGGGAACGAAACCGCAACATCTATAACCAAAGTCAAATGGGAAATTGGTGGCGTTCTCGGTTAACAGATTCCCTAATAAACCGGAAGCCTTCATAGCTCTTTAGAGACTTCGGTTTAGGTATAGACAGACCATTTTACAGAGACTAGTATACATGAACCCTGCCCACATGTACCTAACTTAGTATGTAGGGCGGACTCGAGTTCTCACAAGGTACCAACAAGGGTGCTCGATTTTAAGTACTGGTTCGTAGAAAGTGCAGTGAAACGATGTCGCCTCGCATAAAACATCTTTCCTTCCTGTCACGCCACCTTAACGGTCGAATACCGACTCGCCGCCTACAAGATAGGTGTGGCGAGCCCAGTGAGGGTCCGGCCGATGCTGTCTATGGCCAAGACTGGCCGAATATCCAGTTTTGGATTCAAGGTCTCGGATCCTTCTAGATTGAGACTGGGGAATCCATGCAATGGCATGCTTCTATGCGTCTCCCATGTACATGGTAGTTAGGGCAGAAAGGATTCTGCGCTTTGATACCACCTAAACACAATCCCTACCGGTATCGATGTATTGCTAAGTTGTTCGAGAATCTAGCCTATCATGTCGATGAGGTAGGAGGTATTCGTCGGGAAAGAGCTGGATGAATTATCGAGACCTTTGCTACCCTGGACGGTGTCACGACATGACTCCTATTTGCCTGGTTACACAGATCTGGGAACCATTATAACTCCAGGGGGGGGCCCAGACATACGGTCCGTTATTCGCAACCTCGACGACGATCTCTACTCCTTAAGATAGGGCATCCCCAGATCGATCGTGGGCTCATCTGAACAGGATCGCACGGATGCTATAACCATCCATCACCATGTCGGATAGCACTCAAGTTACACCGACGCCCAATCCGACAAGCTGGCTTCAAAATTTGGGTATTGCCATTGAGGTGATAGGGCCAGCACTTGCACTTTTGGTTGTCGGCTTAAGAACATACATCAGAATCGATACGAAGAGCTTTGGTTGGGGTAGGTTAACAGTCGAGATCGAAACATGAGTCAAGCACTGATCAGACCAATTATACAGACGATGGACTCATTATTGCGGCGATGGCCTTGAGTATTGCTCTGGCAGTAGGCTCAATAAAGGGTATGTTAGCACGACGAAACGCAAAGCAATAATAAATCTAACAACGTGCAGTCATGAAAGCGCTTTTCATAGGAATTCACTACTACGATGTTCCACTGCCATTCGATCCCACCGAAGGACTTATTTGGATCTACATCGTCGGCGCCGTATATCAGCCCATCCTCACCCTCGTCAAGCAATCGGTGCTCGTCTTTTTGCTTCGTTTCTCTGGTATCAAATCCGGCGTTCGATACGTTGTATGGGGCACTATCGTCTTTAACACGCTGCTGATGGTCGCCATTTTCCTCACCGTTATCTTCCAATGCCTCCCTATTTCATATAACTGGAACACGTTGCTTCCCGGCAAGTGCATCGAACAATTCAAATTTGGTGTTGTGGCCGCTTGCATGACTATCGCGACGGACATTGTCTCGGTTGCCCTCCCGTTTTACATTTTCCTGGGATTGCAAATAAATAAAAACAGGAAGATTGCCCTTATCGGCGTCTTCATGTTGGGTGTTATGTCAGTCCCCCCTATTTTTCTTTTATAGTCAAATTTACAAAATCAAACCTGCGCATGAATCAAGAGCTAATCAAGGTCTATCGACAGCGTTACGGTCGTCAGCGTCATTCGTCTCTACTTCCTCGCACAGAACTTCAACGATCAAAGCCCGGACAAGAACTTCTCCCTTGGCTTCTGCGTCTCCTCCATAGAGTGCAACCTAGCTATCTTAACAGCTTCGGCACCCGCTCTTTGGCCACTGATCCGTCGATGGATTCCACATCTCAAATCATCCGGTGACCGTTCCTACTATGGTGCTCACAAATACGGAGGCACGTCGCATGGGCAACAGGGGTATATCAGGACCACGGATGGACCGGACAGCGGGATTGGGTTGAAGGACATGAGCAGCCGACGAGCCCGTACCGAAGTCAGGTCTGCACGCGACTCAGACGAGGAAATTCTTACCGGCACGGGAATCATGCGGACTACACAATTCACGGTTTCGACCGAAGACAAGCACTCGGCTTCGAGGACCAACTTCGACGATCAGACGACGCATTCTAAAGTTTCTAGCAATGGCTCACTGTGAGCTATCATGTACAATACGTAGCAGTTGGCGTTGGGGCGGGAGGGATTTTGCTATACCTAATTCGAGGAAGAAGAATAGGTACCTTTATTATTGAGCATTTTTTAAATTAAAAAAAAAATAGGTACCTGCATACCTACCACTTATTCAACAAGATGAAACCTACACGATTCTTGACGCGGCCCTTCCATTGGTGTATGCTTGAATAAAGGGGCAACTAACAAAATCACATGCGAGACGCCTTTCGCAACTAACACCCCAAACACCGATGGAATAGATCCCGCACCAACCGTGCGCAACGATAAGGCATAAAGAGACCTCGTTAGAAGTAAAAATGTGGATTGGAAGATTGAAAAGCCAGTGCTGAATGTTCTAAAAAGGGCAACTCGACTATTAGCTCGATCAATAGTTCGCGACAAACACCACACGGACCGCCGAGAAGGTCCCATTAGCTCTGTACTTTATAGGGCGGAATTGCCGGCTACGCTAATCACAAGGCGCAATGAAGTGAATAGTCTAGGTACCTAATTCACCTGCTGTAATTCAGGTAGTTCAGACGATCTGGGCATGTCTGCGAGGTTCATTCGAAATCTTCCGTCTTATGTCGCTTCCGTGCCGATCCATCGTATCGCGAACCATGGACGAACCAAGAAAGGGTTGCCCCGATGAGATCCGGAACAGCGTTTCAAAGGGTCGAGATCACCCGAGTACCGCCTCGTAGTCATGCCCGACAAATCACCATAGAAGTTAAGTACCTATAACAAAGAACAAATATTTACCCACTGATTTTCATAAATCCCCTTGCCCTTGAGACGCGATGCTACCATATCGATGCGTGAAATGATTTACCCCGGGGTTTAGCCCGCATTGGTATCCGGTCCTTGAAATACCACATGGTACGTTTTTTTTTCTTCGGAACCTAGACGTTTCTAGCAGGCGAGTAGGTAGGTACCTAGTAATACAGGAAAATAAAATCGCAAAATATCTAGAACCGGCCTGATACGAAGTGGTTTGAGGGACTGGCTTTAGGGCCGAGCATGGTATCATCGAAAATATCCTTGAATTTTCCCAGATTTCTCGTAATACTGTACTAACAAGGTAGACAGATTCGAACCCGCAGTTAGCTCTAGCATGGCTCGGACTGAAATCTTTTTGTTCTTCCCGAGATCTCCAGTTCTAGGGCTACGACTCTCGGCTAGGGGGAAAAACCCAGGCCAGGGCTTAGTCTCGGTTCTATAGCGAGCGCGCTAGTGAAAAAGAACCATTTTCATTAGCAATTTTGCCTTGGAATTCGTCAGGCACCTCAACTTATGTCTCAGGTCACAAGCTCCTCCCGCTACTGAAGCATGTTCCCATTTGTAAATTGCCATCTGACGAGTATCGACGGGCTTACGTATGTCAATGGCCGCATCTCGAAGCATTCACGCTTGATGTACGGACCAACCTCTAAGAGCCGGAACTACTACAATCTAACTTGATAAGTTTCCGTTGATCGCCTCCAGAGCCGGCGCCATTGAGTCCCTACTTTTATCCACCGGCCGATAGGCTTCGGCACATGTAGCAAATAGAGTTAATTAGTGTATCATTTCGCTGGTGATCGTCAGCTTGGCAGTATTGGGATAAGTTCTTGACACGCTCTGCGCTTTATTGTGGTGACATTCCTCCAGTCGTATTCGGAGCGATCGATCATGTCTGGTATACGTAGCGGTTTCCATGTAGATGGGCTTCTACGTATCATCGAGGAAACAATACTGTTTCCTGTAGAAAACCCGTCCTATTAACTAACACGTTAGGTATAATACAGCGTGTTAATAACCCCGCATGCGCTATACAACGCGGCAAGGTGTATGAACCTGCATCAAACTTCACCGGCTAAAGTCGTCTGAACTCCAACATTGACCTGAAAAAGAAGGTAGTAAAAAACCATTCGATAAGATATCGGAGACCGAGCCGGATTGTGCTCAGATTTAGTGAAGCTTGCAACAGGCATATTTACCGCCTGGCCGTAGACATCCATAATGTCGCTCAACATCCAGGAATGCCTGAATTCAAAAGCAAACCGCAGAACAGCAGAATCATAGTAAAAGGCATGTATGATGAAGAAGAAAAAAACCAAAAAAACATAGTTGCGACAACGACAGGATTCGAACCTGTGCAACCGAAGTTATTAGATGACATGCTAGGATAGCCATGATTCGAGTCTAACCCATTAACCACTCTGGCACGTTGCCTTATCCGTTGATTTTCCGTAAATAAACTTGGCCTATATCGCAAACTCTCCGGCACCGGACCACTGCGTTAGCGAACGCGGAATGATTGGAGACTGTGGAGGTGGAGTTACACACTATCGCAAGCACCAGCACCAGTCTGAGCGAGCAAGACTGGCATCCATTCAATTTACATACTAAGTTGGTGATGGAGAGATAAATTCAGCCCAGCGAAACATGTGTTTGCGTGCATGTCCTGGCTTGCCGGCCGGGAGTTTAAAATCTTACTCATTGACGGGTGCCAATAGTATAAACTCGCACTACCAGATTTAACACCCCTATTCTACATTTTTACCCCTGAGCTTGAGGTACGTAGCAAGCTGTTACACGAGCACAGAAGCCCACTTGCTGCACTTCCCCTAAAATGAAATCTCCAGCTCCAAAGTTCATTAAAGAGGTAGAGTAATTCGCGATCTCCATCGTTTGATTCAAAAAGAAACCAGCATCAACTAAACGGCCTTAGACGCAGCCTCCCTTTTCATTCGCATAGCAACACCTAAGCACTTCTGTAAATCCTTTTTTCATTGCCACAAAGCATTCAAATAGGGGTATCACGGCAGAAGAGCACAAGCCGCGCCCGTCGAACTTAAAGAACCCCAATAACGTACACAGTATACACATTTTGACCGAGCGAACGCCACCGCCAATCCAGATTCCATCCGATCCAGTAATTCTTAATAGCTTCTTAGGTAAGATACCTATTTTAGCCATAGGTAACTTAAGCACGACCACGACCACGACCACGTCCCCGTCCTCTTCCCCGTCCCCTTCCGCGACCACGCGTCGCAGTAAAGCGCTTCTTAGCAGGCGAAGGCTCGCCCCTTTCACTTTCCGATTCTGAGGCAACAGAACTGCTGTCATCATCCGAGGACGCCAGCCTGACGACCGTCGGGCCGCCTGATTTCCTCGCGGCTAGCCGGCGCTCGGGGACTTCGCGCTCGGGCGTGGGACTGGGGCTAGGTGAGGGTGAATTCTCGACGACCTCAGCCGCCGGAGCAGGAGGCTCGAAGTCGTCGTCGACGAGCTCTTTGCGACCTCGCTTGGGGCTGGGCTTAGCAGCCTCCTCGTCGGCACCCTTAGAGCTCGAGTCTGGCTTATCTGCCTTGTCCTGCGCCGGTGTTGTGGTTACGGGAGTTGCGTTGCCGGAGGCTGTCGCGGGGCTTCCCGTTGCGTTATCCCTGGTTCGGCGCGAGCCGATCTTGATCTTCCTGCCCCTTAGTGCCGCTCGTTCTCGCATGGACATGAAGCGCGTATCCGGGGGTGGTGCCAAGTCATCTGGATTGGGTTGAGGTGTTGCAGGCGATTCTTGAGCTCGAAGTCGCTCGGACGGCCGTCCAGGCGGTCGACCTCTTTTTTTGACCGAACCTCCTCGAGGTGTAGATGTAGTAGGTGTAGCTGTAGTAGGTGTAGCTATAGTGGGTGTGGCCGTAGTCGGTCTCGACTCTTCCTCCCGATTATTTTCATCATTAACCACCTGTGCGACCTGGACTTCACGATCAGCATCAACAGTGCTATCGGCCTCGTTTTGGATGCCATTGACATCATCCGCATCCACCATAGTAACATCAGCCGTGGTAGTATCTTGATCAGTTTCACCATCGGCCGGTAAGGATTTTCTCGGTTGTTTCGGTGGGCGGCCACGCTTTTTACCGGTAGACGGTGCAGGAGTAATTCCGATAGAGTTCCGAGGCGGTCGTCCTCTCCTTTTCCCACTGGGTTGTGGCGTACTTTGGGCGACAGCTGGACTCTCCTCTCCGTTAACAGTGGGCTGTTGCGTTAAAGCTCGGATGGCGTCTGCTGCTAAATCCACGGGGTCTCTTTCCTCGTCTGGGGTACGATTCTGGTTTTCTGGTCTCAAAGCTTTGATCAGGACAGAATCCTCAGGGTCCTCAGCAGGCTCTTCAGCTTCCACATACGATGCCCTCGGCTTAGCGTGCCGCAAGGTGGGTCGTAGGGGATCAATAGGAAGAGGTACTCTGGCTGGCTTAGGACGGGGCGCTGTTTGAACTGGTGTCTGGATTGGTTCGGAAACTTCTCCTGGTTGTCCTGGTTGTAATTCTGCAGTAACATTCACAGGTTGTTCAATGGGTCCATCTGGAACAGTTATTTGTATTGGCGTAGAGCCATCGCCAGAGCCGCTACCAGAGCCAATACCGGAACCATTTCCAAGAGCCCCAAGTAAAGCAGGATCCAAGTTGACCAGTTGATCCAGATTCCCAGTCCTCGGCTTCTTGCGAGGCTGCGATCTTGGACCTCTGAAATCGGGATCATCATCCGCCTCAAGCCTTGCTTTCCTCTTCGCAAGACGAAGTGTCTTCTTGACGAACTCGGATACTTCTGGTTCGTTGTTCAGGACGTCGGCTGAAGGCATCTGGAACGGGTCGAATAAGATTCTATCCGTGCTCTCGTCTTGATCGTAGAAACCTATTCCCATCATTCGTTCACTACCAACAACGGGCGGCTCAGGGTACTGAGACGGATCTGGGTAAGCCGAATCACCCTCTTCATTCTGTAAAGCAGACATGTCCGGATCCTCAATTTCGTTCGCCAAGGCATTTTCGCCATCCGGTACATCGGCATCAGTGATGTGACCAGTCTCATAGCCATTGGTATCGTTAGCGCCATTCGTAATGGTGTTGGGATGGCCTAAAATGTGGCTTTGATCCCCATAACCATTCATGATTGAATCCTGAAGAGCCGTATCCATCTCTTGAGGAGCTTCATTCAGTGGATCTTTGGCCTTTTCGGCATCTGCCTGTTGCTTCAATCGTTGCATACGCCTAGTATCCTTGCTTCGATTCTCCTCGCCAGCAGCTTTTAGCCAACTAAGATTATGCTGTCGGAAGTCTACGATAGACTCGACACTGCGATCGTCGGCAATCGGACGTGTATCGTGGCCAAGAAGAGTATTCTTAGGAACATAGGGTTGCGTGACGCCGCTCTGTCTGCATGACCCACAGTTGCAGATATTGAGACACTTCGGGCATTGCCAATTCTCCTGTTGCATCGCGGCCTGTGGCATCATATCAAATGCTCGCCAGAGAACACCGTAGCAATATGCGTTCGGACATGTCGTGCAAAAGCTCAGTTTGTAAGTATACTCTTTGTGGCAACAAACGTGACATCGATAAACATCGCCCTTCTTCGCTTTGCGCTTCGGCTTTGGCTTCCTCTTGATACGACCTTCGTCATCAACTTCTGGTTCAGACTCCTCAGGTGGGGCCTCGGGCGGCTTCGTAATGTCGTTCCATGGTCGTCTTCGGAGCTGATCTTGACAGATCTGGGCTGCCGACTTCCTACCCGTTCTCTTTCGCACGAGTTCGATTGGCTGGGGTGACAAATTAATGTCGACGAATCCATCCTGTTGAATTACCATTGCACGCCAGGTTTCGTGCTTCTCAACGAGATCAGACCATTTCCACTGCTCGCACCACTGAAGGCCCGAGATGCATACGCATGAGCGGCCCATAGCATAACACTCCATGCAAATGTCGTATGTATCTTCGTCCCCGTTGATAAGTGTTCGTACACAACACTTACAAGTTAAAAAGCGGTTAAAAATGTTAGATCGGCAATAAGAGCACGTAATGTTCGAGTCAAATGGAATATGCTCCACATTCGTCTGCTTATAGCCAAACATTTCGTCCACGAGAATATCTGTGAAAAGATTAAATAAGCGCTTGAAGTCATTAGCCAGTTGTCTCTTGCGCGACGAATTTTGTATTAGTTCCTGGCCGAAACCCAGGAAGCTGACTTCCGCATTCTCTTCGAAAGATTGGAGGTCCTTGTAATATTTCTCGAGAGTATAATAAATAATGGCTTTGTTCTTGTATTGCTCATCTCGACAAACAAGTCGAGCCTTTGGTAAAGCCTCGCGCAAGGCTAAGTCAAGGGTTTCGACCGTCGTTCTATTCCAAGCAACTTTCATAGTTCGTGTTCCGCGATTCCAGACTTGATGGGGTGCTAGCGGAGGTATTAGGATGAAATCACCAACTTTCTGCTCGACGATATACACGGGGAAGTTGGCCTTCTTCCAGGCGTTAATCTGTGCGAAATGTTTTTCGATTTCGATGTCATGACCAAGCATAGAGAGGAAATACTCGCGAACAACTTCGCGATCCTTGGTCTCGGTCATGAACCAGATAGAACTGCCAGCCTTCTCCCCATTTTCGTCGGAGGAAGCTTCCACCATGATGTTCTGACCTAAGCTTGCGCACATTTCTCTATGTGCAGGTGTATATGTTCCCTCGTGGCCAACGTAGCACATGAGGTTCTGCGCTCGCATTTCCTCCGAAAGACTACTCATCAAGTCGCCCGCCACCGCAGCAGTCTTCTCAGGCGCACCGAAAATGTCGTCGTTTCGCGTGTCTGCGCTCGGATTCTCGCTGATGTTCTCATTCATGTAGAACACATTGGGTGGAATAACCTTTTTCAGGTGACTGAACCATTCGGGAGGGCAATCTATATCCTTTAGGTAGAGGCGCTGCCGTCGTTCATCGCGAAAATTCGTTGGTGTCCATTGTTTGGTCAACTGTCGCATAGAGCGCAAGTAATGACCAGTGGTCATGGGAATATCGGCCTGGGCTGTTATGTCGCGCACATTCTCCTCTATAGCTATAATCAGTACCAAAAAACTCCCAGGTATATAGCAGAGGTATAGCTTACGTTTCTTATCGTATGCTTTCTCCAACCACTCAGCACTGAATAAGTCCTCGGGAAGAACCTTGTTCCACCCTTCAATAACCAGCGGTCGTCCTCCTTCAATAACATGGAGCTGCACTAGCTTCTCGAAGCCAGAGGGGCCGAGGCGACGGATCTGCGCGGTAGAAATGCGCACTACCCAGTCGAAGTTCGGGGAACGATCAACGAGAGAATGGAGATCGAGATCGGGGGGTATCGGGTCGAATTTCGCTTGGGGATGCAAAGCGGTCGGCATTTTTGCGGTTTCGGGATATGGTCGGGGC